CACCTCCCCCATAGACTTAAAAAGCATTTGTTTCCCAGCCCGGAGTTCAGCTTTGACAAACAATGAAGACTATTATGTCCATTGACGTAATGAGGCAAAGATCTCCGCTCAGTGTGAATGGAGATAAACGATCACACAAATTATACACCTGACAGATTAGAGAGTCATTTGTCTTATAATAAATGAAGTGAAATCCGACTCGCAGGGGGAAGCAGCGGAGGAAACACAAAAGGTTTCATCTATAAATATTTACAAACAGAGGCAAAACTGACCTTTGTGCTTCATTTCACTGATAAATGTTTCCTGTTTTTTTTTTTTTACACCTATTCATAAAAACTGGACATTGAGAACCGGGATGCTGGAGTGAAAGAAAAAAAAACATATTAAAGTGACATTAAACCCTCAGATTTTTTAACATAAACCAATACTGTAATGTGCGCCTTACTGTAATCCATGGTAGTTTCCCTTCTCTTTGCTGCTCTTCCTTTTAAATCCGTATCTGTTCTCATGCTGCGGGAGAACTTCCCTTTGCAGCTGAGTGACTCTTCCTGTAGTGCTGGCTCAGGTTGTGAACCTGCACACAGAGACCGTGTATCCATTCTAGAGACAAGGCAGTCTGCTGCAAAACAGAAGTTCTCCCCCATCATGAGAAGAGATAAGGATTTAAAAGGAAGAGCAGCAAAGAGACGGGAAACAACCATGGATTGCAGTAAGGCGCACATTACAGTATTGTTTTATATTAAAAAATCTGAGGGTTTAATGTCACTTTAAGGGCTTGTTCACCAAAATGCAGACCCGATCTGCATGAGTTTCTGCACACGCAGTGCAGTGTGTTATACTGTGTTTTTTGCCGCGTTTGATGCGTTCCGGGCCGTTTTATGTTTTTAAAAGAAAATGTTAAAATGTTGGTTTATTTTTTTTTTGTTTAAAATGGGCTTTCAGTGTGTTCCCTTGCAGGGAGCTATGGAGCCACCCTTGTGTGTGCTGGTAAGCTGTGTGTGTCCACTCTACTCCTCCTGCCTCTCTCCCTTCTCTTTTCTGGGTCCCTTTAAAAAAATTAAAAGGCATTGCACATTACAAATATAGCTCTTTACACCTTTATACATTTACCTTCAGCTAAAATAAACACCTGGCCAGAGGTCCGAATCTCCCTTCATAAATGAACATAACTACGTGTCACCTCAGCAAACCTCTCCGCACTAACACCTAATGCATCAGATACCAAGCCGAAGAAACGCACACCATACTTGGCAGCGTTGGAATGCAGAGGTCTGTCATGCAATCTCTATATATTTATGTAGCCTCTATTCCACGGCAATAAATATTTTCTTTGGCTTGAAGTCTTGTTTTGGAGCGATTAACCGAGAAAGTCGAGGCGCACACAGAGATCTGGCGGTAAGCAGCTTATCGGGGGTAATGGCACGTTGCTGCGAGATCAGATTGCACATTTGTTGATGCGCGCCTTCTCTGAAGATCAGACCGGCGCTATCAGATTACCCACAGTGCAGAACATTTATCCTCTACTGATCAGGAGGACGCCCCATGTGTGTGGCCTCCACACAACACATTCTACTGTGCTGATCAAAAGCCCGTTTGATATAAAAAAAAAAGGTGCAAAATAAACAAAAATCCTCCTTTACTGCAGTCAAAATGTTTATAGTCACACAGGTAGCTACCATAAAAAAAAGACCATGTCCATCACAAACACAAAAGATCTAGACCCAGAAGAAGACGGAACAGATTCTTCTTCATTAAGTAATGACTTGGGTGCCATAATCGGGCAGCTGAAGAAACCACATTGGGCAGCTGGAGGAACCATAATCAGGCAGCTGGAGGAACCATAATCAGGCAGCTGGAGGAACCATAATCAGGCAGCTGGAGGAACCATAATCAGGCAGCTGAAGGAACCATAATCAGGCAGCTGGAGGAAGCACAATCAGGCAGCTGGAGGAACCATAATCAGGCAGCTGGAGGAACCATAATCAGGCAGCTGGAGGAACCATAATCGGGCAGCTGGAGGAACCATAATCGGGCAGCTCAAGGAACCATAATCGGGCAGCTCAAGGAACCATAATCGGGCAGCTCAAGGAACCATAATCGGGCAGCTGAAGGAACCATAATCGGGCAGCTGGAGGAACCATAATCGGGCAGCTGGAGGAACCACATCGGGCAGCTGAAGGAACCACATCAGGCAGTCAAGGACCATTCATTCAATGCTCCTGGAAGAATTTTCAGCCGCCAGGGCTCTTTAAAAGAGTGAGGAATAGTGGGTTGGACAGGTAAGTCTTAGGGCTTGCTCACACCATGTCCACTGAGCTGAAGTTTTCCATACGCCACCGCACTTTGGGGGAAATTGATCAAAACTGGAGCAGTTGCTTATAGAACCAAATAAGCTTCTATCTTTCATTTTCAAAGCGACAAAGGGTACAGACCTCCAGTTTTTTAAGCAATAATGCTTCAAAAGGGTCCCTATGAAAGGAGTTACCTGTCACCGTATATATAAGCTTGTATACGCTACTCTAGAACCACCTGACTTTAGGACAGTCCCAACAGATATGAGACAACGTTCCCTCAACCCGACAGCCTTAAACACAATAAGGTGAATATAAAAAGAGACGCCCCGAGGGATGCAAATGGGAACCAAATAACACTGCAAAGAGAGTTTATAGTTGGCCTCCACCGCCAAAACATTTGATGAACTCTAACTCATTGTAAGACAAATCCGATTCCATTCGCCTTTCAAGATGGAGAAGCCAAGATCTCCCTTCCATTTAGGGGCACAGGACGGTTGAGGTTGTTGAAGATTACCCATCAATATCATACAAAAGGAGACCAAACCTGGACCCCGAGCACCCGGGGTAAGGGTTATTTCGTAAAAGCACGAGTGAAGTCTAATCCTGAGATGGTCCAGTTAAAGGTCTGAAGGAAATGCTTGATTTGCAAATATTGGGAAACATCGCCAAGGGGAAGTCAATACTTGTCTCACAACATCTGAAAAGGGACCTCATCGGCCGCGGTGAAGAACTGCTTCACCAAGTACAAATCCATGGAATGCCATTGCCGAAAAGCTGCAGTATTCGCATAACCTGGTAAAAATAAGGGGTTTCCCAGGAAAGACATAAGGGGGCAGTGGGAGGACATAAGGCGGCGAGAAGTTTTAAGGCCGTCCCACAGACGTAGGAGTATGTCTAATAATAGGACAGGACTTTATGCTGTGTCGAGATCACCCATGGTAAATTAGTTATCGCAAAAGGACTGCATAAGTATGCCTCAAAAGAGACTCACAGAGGGATATCCTCCACCATGTAGCATTGGGCCAAATATATATTATTATACAGGATTTATACACCGCCAACAGTTGGTGCCACGCTTTACAATATAAGGAAGACATTACAATCACAATACAATTCAAGACAAGATATAGCTGCGTCTCTTGAAATGAAATCTGTACATGCTAAGTATGAGTAGTTTAGGAGGTTCAGAAGCCTAAAGACACAAATAAACCCTCCCGGCACAGCCCTACCCCAAAAAGTGGTCAAGTTTGGTGTCTATCAGAAGATATTGTCATGACACACAATAATTAAGGGCTTATCAGATAGTAATATGTAAGAATATTAAACTATGTAGTTATGGAATTAACAGTTTGCAGAGGAGTATGAGGAAAGAGGAGAAGGTCATAAAATGCTCAGTCCTTCCTCCCTTCCTTCTCCAGATTGGGCAAGGGAGCTGGCTCAGGGGCACCCCTAGAGGACCTACAAAAAGCGGCTGCGCAGGGCCGTCAGGAGCTCTTGTTTAACATCAAGAGGAAGCGCTTGTGTAACAAAAGATAGGCTCTCATGTGACCATCAATCTCATCAAGGAATAACCCTTTGCCTTGCTCTGAGGGAGTCTTTTCAAGATCCATCTTCTGTGCATTGAATTGGACTCTGCTAGAATCTACCAAAACCAGGTGTTTGGGTAGGGTGCAGGGTGACTGGTCTTGTCTCCGCCCCCTCCTGTAATAAAGGCCGCTCACTGCTGCTCTCTCCTTGTGCAGGGTGACTGGTCTCGTCACAGCCCCCTCCTGTAATAAAGACTGGTCAATGCTGCTCTCGCTGCTTGTGCAGAGTGACTGGTCTTGTCTCCCCCCCTTCTATAATAAAGACCGGTCACTACTACTCTCTCTCCCTGTGCAGGGTGACTGGTCTTGTCTCCGACCCCTCCTGTAATAAAGACCAGTCACTGCTGCTCTCGCTCCAGGTGCAGGGTGGTTGGTCTTGTCTCCGCCCCCTCCTGTAATAAAGAGCAGTCACTGCTGCTCTCTCTCCTTGTGCAGGGTGACTGGTCTTGTCTCCGCCCCCTCCTGTAATAAAGACCGCTCACTGCTGCTCTCTCCCTGTGAAGGGTGACTGGTCTTGTCTCCGCCCCCTCCCGTAATAAAGTCCGGTCATTGCTGCTCCCTGTCCTTGTGCACGGTGACGGGTCTCGTCCTGTCGTTTCCAGTAGTGGGTGGAGCCTGTTGGGTCCCTCCCACAGCTCTGCACAGGCTATGCATTGCACAAGGATGGTGTCACTGCTACATTTATAAAAGGCATTTGGTAACACAAAGTGGATTTATATCCTTTATGGCTATGAAGGAATATATGCACATAAAAGTTTTTGTGACTAAAGTTCAGCTTTCCGCTCTATGCATCTCTCGGTATAATATTCAATTTTGACAGCAGCATACCTTTAATCCCAAGAGCCACCTAAAAAACATTCCCGAGAAGGTTTAAGGGCCTCTAATCGCAGAGCATGAATAGAAGGTTAATAGAGAGCGGCAGGTATCCATCGGAACATTATTATTCCAAGGTACATGTCTGCATAATGGAATATTCTAGAATGAGGGATAATGTCGATTAAGGAAAAGTAGACGAAGCGCAGAGCCCGAGGTTAAGAGTGTGAGGCAGTAAATCGGATGGTGATATTTGTATTGTTCTCGAGGCTGGCTGAGTGGAAGGGAGATCATATGGGATACTCACAGTTATGTGAACATTGTGGGATGATCATGGCTATGTTGAAATAATCTAAGCAGATGCCACAGTGCAGCAAGTCATCGAGAGCCTGTAAAACAAGACAGAGGGATCAGTGATCAGACGACATCTACGGAATGTCAGAAAAACTTGCTCCTTAGGCCTCATTCACAAGAGAATAGTCCAGCACGTACAGCTCCATGCAGGGCCGTATGGGGCAGCTCCCGGGAAGGACAGGGGCTGCGAGTGATTAGTACGCAGCCCCCGTCCTTCTCTATGGGAGTACGCGGTCGACGCCGCCCTACGCCCACCTCAAGTTCAGGTCCGTACCGGTGCGTGTGTCCCAGCTCAGACGCATCCTGTCAGCGTACGAGTACGGACACCCGCACGGACGTGCAGGGCGAGTGACCGTAGGGCGGCGTACGACCGCATGCTCCCATAGGAGGACAGGGGCTGTGTACTAATCACACGCAGCACCTATCCTTCCCGGCTGCTGCCCGATACGGCCGTGCACGCAGCATGGAGCTGTACGTGCCGGCCGATTCTCGTGTGAATGAGGCCTTAAAGGAGAACTATGGGGTTAGGGCTTTTCCCCATAGTTCTCCTGAAGGTAACGGGAGGACACAAACTAGCGTCCTCCCGTCACCCTAGGCTCAGTATATAGGGAGCTGTAGCTCGCGGTATACTGAGACGCCGCAGCCAGAACGGATGCCGACAATTATGTCTGGATCCACCCAGCTGCCACCTGTGACAGTCTCATTGTCACAGGTCGGCTCAGATTATGAGGCTGAGTGAAAATCACTCGCCTCATTATTCTCCTTTAAAGTGCAACACCACTATTACAACCAGAAGATTTTATTTAAAGGAGAAGTGCACTTGAAAGCAATTGCCCGTGTCCTTTAGACCCCTTTAAGGTGGCGTCAGCACTCCCGCCCGCTGTATAGATGAATACGTGCCAACAGGCTAGGCCTTGTTTACAACTTGCGGAAAATGTCTTCTTCTCGTGGCCATGCCTGCGCAGTACAACCCCACTGACATCTATGGGGCTCATCCACCAGGTAGCCGAGCCCCATAGAGGTCAATGGCCATATACTGGGGAGGCGCAGCCAGGAAGAGACTTTCACCGCAGGATGTAAACCAGAGGCCGGGCCCCAGTCAAAGGTGCTCATTATTGCACCACGTCGGCCTGATCCTTCTCTCTTCCATGGCAGGACTCGCTGCCCAGGCGAGACCATGGAATATATCCACCATTCTTTTAGATAGGGATGCACTGATGCCGATACCGAGTATTTGGGCCAGTAGTCGTACTGGCCCAAATGCTCCGATACCTTCCCTGATACCAGAACTTCCAGTCAATGCATGATTTCCTCTGACCAGCAGTGCCATAGGGGAACATGGAGCCAGCTTCCCAGGCAATCAGGAAGCCGGGAGGCGAGTAATGACCCGCCTCCCGGCTTCCTGATTGGCCGTGAAGCCGGCTCCGTGCTGATTGGGTGGGAATGGAGCCAGCCAAACAACATGGAGCCTGGGCAATCAGGAAGCCAAGCGGCATTTCATTACCCGCCACCCGGCTTCCTGATTGCCGGGGAAGATGGCTCTATGCCAGCGGAAGCACCGGTATCGGTACTCGGTATCGGCGAGTACCGAAAAAGCAAGATATCAGTATTCGATACCGAAAAACCTGTTTCGGTGCATGCCTACTTTTAGATATGATATTTTCCCATATATGACCTGTACTCTGCATGACCGGCAGTTACAACTATAGGGGAGTGCCCTGGTTTAGTTCCCCCTTGCCACCACTGGATGTACCCTTTGTGGTATGGGATGGCCCTGGTTTTAGGGTCCTGCGTGGGGTTGGTGGAGGGGACACTGTTCTTGATGGTCTCCTCTGGGGTCTGTCTGGGAGGGACCATGCAGGAAGGAGCCATTGCCAAGTTGGCTTCCTATTGGGGCGACGTGTATGGACAATCTCCCACTTCTGGGGAGATGTCGGGACATTTCTATACCCACTGCACTCTATTTCTAGTTCTCTCCTCGAGTTGCTCTCTTGATGCCAAGCACCGTTAAACCCGTTCATTCGTGGTGCCACCATTATCCAGTATGGCTGATTCTTCTAACATTGTTATTTATGTGGTGAGCACATTCTTTCTGAAGGAGCCTGGTGTGGGCTGTATCTCATCCTCCACCAATGGCGGCTTTCTCATGCTTGTGCCGGGGGAAAGAAGTGGGACCATGGTTGGCAGGAGCAGTGGTTGAAGGTCCTGGTCAGGCCAGCTCGGGTCGCTCGTCAGGGTGTCCCACCCTGCACCCCCTCTATACACCATTATTCTGCAATCTACATCACACCTTGTACCCAAAACAAGCTCCCGCTCCCTCCCCCAGGACACCCCCTTACCCAAAACCCTGTACCCACACCCCCCATTACCCCCAAAACCCTGCATCCCCATACAATGTACTCTCTGCACCCATTACCCCACACCTTGTACCCCTAGAACACCCCCTTACCCAACATCCTGTACCCCTTGCGCCCCCCTGGATCCCCCACTATTCCTCTTACTTCAATCCCCATTACATCTCACTCTGCCCCCCTTCCCCGCCGCTCATATCTGCCTGGGCTGTTTTCGGATTTGGGGTGAAGATTCACCTGGAGGGGGTTCGCCGGCTGGCCCCCAGGGGCCCCTTCTGCTGCGGTTGTCATAGATCCCGGTGTACGGTGGCTCACAGCTGATCATACGAACTTCCCGCGCTGCGAGCTTCGCCTGGACAAGGACACGCCCCCTCCCTTCGGGCGCGGGGGATTGTGGGAGATGTAGTCAGAGAGCTGCTGATGATGAGCGGAGAGAGGAGGTTCAAGACAAAGCAGGACAGAGAGCTGAATGACTCAACCGGCTCCCAGAGACCTTCCTAAAATCATTCCCACATCCCACCCCGTACACATCCCACCATCCCCATAGAGGACCCCAATACACATCCCACCATCCCCATAGAGGACCCCATACACATCCCACCGTCCCCATAGAGGACCCCCATACACATCCCACCATCCCCATAGAGGACCCCCATACACATCCCACCGTCCCCATAGAGGCCCCCCATACACATCCCACCATCCCCATAGAGGACCCC